GGAGATTCCGGGTTTTTGGTCTCCTTCTGCCCCTAAACCTTGAACCCTCGTTTGTTTCTCACAAGCATCAGCCTTAACCAGAACCCTAAACCCAAACCCTAAAGTTGTTAACCCTAAACCCTAAACCCTAAACCCTTAACCAGAACCTTTACGCCCCAGACTCTGACCAAGGCTACATCGACCCAGGTCTGAACTGGGAGGCGCAGGGTTTAGGGTTTAGGGTTTAGGGTTTAGGGTTTAGGGTTTAGGGTGTCAAGGTTTAGGGTAACAAAGGAGGTTCTTTTGGAGCCTTACATCAGATCAACCGCCCCAACTCTACCAAAGCCAGCCCCCAAACCCTTAACCCTAAGCCCTAAGCCCGAAGCCTGGGAAGAATCCCAGAGGCCCAAACGGGTTTAGGGTTTTAGGGCACCGTGCTTTTCAGGATGTGCCGTGGCTCAAGAGCATCACGAAGATGAAGGCGGCGTCGCGGGGTTTGGGGCTGCATCGCTTGCTCTGCTCTTCGTGTCCGATCTTCTGAGGGTTTTTCTGCGCTACGCTGCAAATCTACAGCAAAAACAGTCTCGAGGGGGCGTGATATGGATGCATTTGGATGCCAGTGTGTTTGGAAACTTGACTGCAAAACTTTGGAGGAGGAAGAAGAACAATAAGCACAGTAATCGTATCAACAAAAGGACATGCATAAGAAGCAGCAGTGATTGGCATTCCGAAGAGGTGCTGCTGAAGGGCGTCCAGTGTGCCGAAGATGCCGTGTCCGCTTTCAAGGCTGGCTTAGGGCGCGGTCGACGGCATCAGGTTGAATTTTAAAACCCAAACTTTTCTGGGGGATTCAGGGGTTTAGGGTTTAATTATAGTTTAATTAGGGGTTCAGGGTTTTAAGAAGCGCGATTCCCAGTTTGTTCAGGCTGGCCTGGCCGGGTGCGTGCTGTCCAACCACGGCGGCAGGCGTGCTGAGGGCTGTTGATTTTTCTAGGAGGTTTCAGCGCTTTGAGAAGGTGCTTTGGTGGTTTCGCCATTCAAGCATTCAAGTGCCATGTTCTGGTGGCGCCCTGCGAACCTGCAAGCCTGCAGCCTGAACCCCCTACGCTTCCAGCCCTAAGGCCCCTTCAGTCCTACAGAGAGTCAGAACCCTGAGCTCTTGACCCTACCAAGCCCTAAGCCTCTAAGAGCCACCGCAGGCAGCTGGACACCTGCCGCCCTGGCATCGAGGTGCACCTTCTAGTTAGAGGGAAGCTCCTTCAACCCCCCGGGAGCTCCTTAATCTAAAGTATCTAAAGCGTACAGACCCCCAAGCCACTCCCAAAGCCTCAAACCCCCCGAAGCAGCGAAAACCTGTGGAGCGCAAGCTCGGGACTGAGGCGGCCGGTGCTTCACCTGAAGCCCCGAAGCCCTGAACAGCCAAGCGCTGACGCCCCCAAGCCCTGCTCTGACTGCATCTGCAAATATCTGCAAGGTGCTTCCGGAGGTCATGGAGGGCCTTAGGGAGGCTGGCGCCACCAAGGAGAGGGGCGACGGAGGATGTGTTTCGGATGGAACTGCCTTGAAGTTTGGCAAGGGCTGCCGGGAGATATTCGGTTGACTTAGGGTATCAAGCTGACCTACTGAACCTTCAGGACACCTTCTCCGTCTTCATCGACGGCGGCGTCCGCCGCGGCGGTGACATTTTCAAGGCTGTGGCGCTCGGCGCGCAGGCCTGCGGAGTGGAAGGAGTGGGGCCCATGCAGGGAAAAGGGGGTGATACTAGAAGGAACATCTTGCTTCCGGCCTGCTTCGATCTCTTCTTGCGCCTTTCAAGAGACTCGTGCGCGGATCTGCGATGGAGAAGCTAAAATTGAGTTTTCGGCACGTTCTCCTTCAAGCTACGTAAGAGTATCGTCGCCACGTGGGCATGTGTGCTACATGTTCGTGTTTCTCGTCTGTGGGCTTGTGTGAGACTTCGGTTTTGGGATGGCGGTTCATGCCCGGGCGGCTCAACGCTCCAGGTTGAAGCCCCTGACATAAGCCCCAACTCACTTCTGTTTCCCTCTTTAGTAAAGTCCAAGATCCAGGCAGTTGGTGTGGGGCGGCCGGTTCTCTACTCCTTGGCCTCTTACGGAATGTGGCCTGGACTGCGCTTCATCATGTGTGCTGCCCCACACGAGAGGGCTCCCGCAGCTCGACAGTTTACGGTCCCCAAGTCTTGATGATTCAGTTTGGGTGAAATGGCATAGAGAAAGTTCATGGCTTGCAGGTTGCAGTTTTTAAGCTCACATGTATCAACATTACAGGGCCTTGATTCCTTACCAAGCACTTACAACCTTTTGCGAGCCCTCATCCCTAAAAAACCCTTCTTTGAGGACTACTATTCCCACAAGAAGGGAATACAAAACTACTGCATATCCCGTTGACTCAATAGGACAGCATCCGCGATCCTCTTTTTAGGGCTTAGGGTCCTGCGCCCGGAGCCCGACCACCCAAACCGCCACGTAGTGTAGAGTTGAGGGTGTATGGCTTAAGGCTCAGGGTTCAGGGGCAACCCTAGACCCTGCTATCGCCACCAGGAACGGCATCGTCCGCATGGTGCACATGCTCCAGGACGAGCTTCAGATGGACACTCCCTCGCAGGGCAGAGGGGTCTGTGGAAGTTTACGTTGTCGACCGTCATGGCCAGGCTCTACCTCCTGTGTGCCCCCCTGTTATGCGTCTACTCTTGCAGCTTCAGAGAAGCGTGCCGTGAGTGCTGGGGTTTCCGCAGTGCTGGGGTGGATGAGAAGGTAGTGCCCGTCTTCTCCACATGCCCTCCCGGAACCTCGAGCCTCTGAAGCCCAAACCGCGGCTGAGGTGATGCGCCTCTCCGGCACCCCGAACATCCCGAGCATCACTGAGAAGCACGCGGCCCGCCTACGATAAGCGGTTCAGAGGTTAGGCATGTGAAGGGTTTAGGGATGAGAAGAAACCAAGCCATGCGTGCCGTTCTTTGGAGTACTCATGGCTTGCGTCTCCGTCCTTCTATGCCGCGGCGCAAGCGACTGCCTTCGAGTGACTGCCCTGAACCCGCATCCCTGAAAGCCGAGGTGATCATCACCAACCTGGCCGACCACATCGTCCCTCTCCCCACCGACTTCCTTGTCCAGTCACCAGCCCAGTTCGGAACACTTAAACCCTAAGCGCTAAGCCCTAAGCCCTAAACCCTAAACCCAAAACCGAGGGTTGTAGGTTCTTGTCTTGCAGGGTTGCAGGGTTTAGGGCCAAGGTTTGGGGACGGTGGGCACTTTCAGGGCGTTAGGGTTTCGTGCCCTGCCACCATGAACAGCACAACGAAACAGGGGCTCTTCCATTATTTGTTAATTGCCAAAATACCCGCGGGTTTCGTATTTTCTAGCGAGGTTTTGCATTACGATTTAAAGTTTAGCTATATTGACCAAGGAACAATCATCCAAGCGGTCTAGCTTTCTTGAGTTTTCATTGTGTTCGTGGTCTCACGACATACTATGATTATTACCATTATTACATAATTATTATTACATAATTATGGTCATCTTGATGTTCGGCAAAGTGATCGCATTGCGCAGGCCTTAAGGACATCCCCCCCCCCCCCCCCCCCCCCGGCTTGCGCCAACCCAGTCCCAACCCATAAACCCTGAGCTCTACACGCCACACTGAACCCCCAAGCCCCTGCAGCCCTTGAAGCCCCAAAGCCCTGAACCCCGCAAACCCTCAACCCCCAAACCCAGACCCTCAACCCCCAAACCCAGACCCTCCACCCTCAAACCTAGACCCTCAACCCCTCAACCCTGGACCCTCAACCCCTCAACCCTAGACCCTAAACTCCTCAACCCTAAACCCTAAACCCTGAACCCTCAAAATCGCCCAGGCGCACCTACCAGGGCCTAGAGCCTGCGGCCAAGCTCTGAGCAGCTGTGGGAGGCGTAGCGCCTCGACAGAGCCCGGTGAGGGCAGCGCAGTCGACCGAGCTCCACAGGGGGGGGTTTTAAAGCTTTAAAGCTTTTCAGGGTTTTAGGGTTTAGGTGTTTATTTGTATTTTCAGGGTTTTCAGGGTTTAGGTGTTTATTTTTATTTTGGTGGGGGGGGGGAAGGGTTTCGGGGTCAGGGCTGGGCTCAAGTTCAGGCCAGGCCCCTGAACTCTATCAGCCATTTTGTTGGGTAGGAATTTCGGTTGGTTTTTTGCTTTGGGAATCTTGGGGGGCCAGAGTTCCTGGGTTTAAGGCTGGCGCAGCGTCTTGCACAGAACTCTGGGCAGTGTCCGTAAGGCTCAGGCTTGGCTTGCGAGGAGGAACACCTCTTTTGGACCTGCACCTTTGAAGAGGTAAGTAGCGGGATGCGAGATTGAGGAGCTGCCTGAGATTGCGCCGCCTCTTGCATTCTTGTGCCTGTCTGAGAGAAGGTGCACGTTGACCCATCGGAGGGTGGAGAAGGAGGACCCAGTCATGGGGCAACTGCCGTACCACTTCAAAGCCAAAGCTCACCTTCTCTCTGACACACTGCAATTTTTAGCCGTGTCTTCCTGATCAATGGAAGCGAGGAGTTTCTATTGCATCATCACATCTCGTCAAGCCGCCGCACATCAGCATGCGCATTTGCGCATGATGCTAAGCCTGCCCAACACCTTGTGCATACCCACCCCTACCCAAGCCGACGGCTTACACCCGAAACCCCACCCTTGCGCACTTTGAAGCTGCATATGTGGCCGCCCTTGACTAGATTCGACGAATCGCGAGCATGACTGTACAGCTCGAGCTGGCCAAGCAGCCAGATTTTCGTTCAGCGAGAGCCGCTGGCCCAGACACGACTCTCTTGAAGACAGCGATGGGTCCAAATCGAAAAAGTCATCAACGTCCTAGACCCGAGGCTTTCTCCCTTAGGCGCGACGCCCTAAGGCCCTGAACCCTATGTGGGCTTTGCTTGGGTAAGCCGTGGCCCATGTAGCCTCAAGTAGCCTGCACGTTCTCGCCCTGCCCCCAAAGCTTGAAAAAGCCCCGCAGAGCCCCAACCGATCTTAGATGGCCCGCTTCTACACGGCCTCGATCCTGATCGCTGTGGAGGCGCTGTGGGATCGGAATGCCGCTTGGCGAGGAGGGGGTTTCTTTTGGGGTCTGGGGTTGAGGGCTGGGGCAAACTACAGGTCCCAAGGTAGTGCTGGCCCGTGTGCGTCCTCATCGAGCTTGAGAGGAGAAGTGTGGGCTTTAGTGGCTTCAGAGGTTTAGGGTCTGAGGCTGGTCAAAGTAGGCTATCTGAAGTGGCACCTCGCTGAAGTCACACAACCCTTAGTACATCACAAACCCCAAACCTCAAGCCCTCAACCCGAAAAAGGCCCCTCAAATCCTAAAGCATCCCAACCCCCAAGCCTGTGTTGTTTTTTTTGAATTTTAATTTGCGTGCCCAGGTCGTGTATCGAGACCTGAAGCCCGAAAACGTGATGCTGGACCAGGAGGCCTCGGGGTTTTCGCAAGTTTAGGGTTTGGGGGTTAGAGGGGTTTAGGGGTAGGGGTTTATTTAGGGTTTAGGAAAGTTTAGGGTTTAGGGGTTGAGGCGTTTAGGGGATCGGAGTGTAGGGTTTAGAGTTTATGGTTTCGGGCCCACTCAGAGGGCTTTTTCGGGCTTAGGGTTTATCTAAGGCCCTTCATCTACTTGAGTTTTGGGCCGTTGTCAGAGTTTCAAGGCTTATTAAGGCTTTCAGGGCTTTCAGGGCTTTCAGGGCTTTCACGGCTTTTTGGGACCCAGGGAGGCTTGAGGCTTGAGGTTTCGTGTTGAGGGCTTTAGGGCTGGGCCACTCAAGGGCGGGTCTTGATGTGGCGTAAACAAAAGTACAGGGATTGCTCGCGCTTGATGTGGGTACAGGTAGTATCGGTCATTATGATTTAGGCTCCTGCGTTATTCGGGCTGTGGCGGGGGGGGGGGGGGGGGGGGGGGGGTTGGAGGCCCCGAGAATTGGGGTTAAGCACCTTACCCTAAACCTTGGCAACTGCCTGGCCGGTTTGCCTTTTGGACGAGGGGGGCCACTCAAGATGGTTTGGGCTTACCCGGATTGGAGAAAATCAAGGGGTCGAAGTCTGCAAGGGACTGGCTGGAGCCCGAGACTACATGATTCAAAACCACGCCCCCTTCAGGGTTACGTCAAGATCATCGACTTCGGAGTGCGGCGCTCGGGATCCATCGGGGAAGGCGCCGAAATCCAGATTTCCAGATGTTGAGTCCAAACCCTTCCCAAAAAAAACAAAAAGATGACCCCAGGCTTCAAGGCCAGGCCGACACTTCTCAAGCCCCGTAGCAGGGCTTTGCAAGTCTGAGTTTTGGGGCGTGCCTGGAGCTCTGTTACTATACTGCGATACAGCTAGATTACGATATGGTTCTGTTACGACAGCAATGGGCTACCATGCTGCTACATTGTTTTATTGTTGGGGTCTGTTGTTTTTTGCGGGCGCTCTGTTTGGGGTGGGGGGGGGGGTTTGGGCCCAGAAAACCTATGGGACTGAGGGGCTTGACCCATTTCGAGTGCTTCAGCGGCCCCACTACGGACAGTTGCTTTGAAGTTGTTCTCCTCTTGGGAACTTACTTAGGGTGTCGGGTTTAGGGTGTGAGTTTAGGGTTTTGGGGTCTGTAGGATTGCTTGGGGCTCCCGATCCAGTCGGAGCCTCGCTACTCGCTAACCCGAAGCGCCATGACTCCTTAAGGCATTGAACCTGAAGCCCCGAAACCCCTGAACCCGAAACCCTCGCCTGAACCCTAAACCCTAAGCCCTTAAGCCCTTAAACCCTAAGCCCTAAACCCTAAACCTTTCGGACGCACACCTTAGCCTTAACCCTAAGCCCTAAGCCCTTAAACCCTAAACCTTTCGGATCGAGGTCTCGAAGAAGCTCGGGGATAGGGAGAGCCGCACCTACACGGTGGCGGGGGCCCCCAGGGCCCTCGTGGTCTGAGGATTTTAGGGCTCGTGCCAGTGAAAGGGTACAGCATGGCTTGGGGTTTGGTGTTTGGGGTTTAGGGTTTCGGTTTAGGGTTTAGTGTTGGGGTGGCGCAAGGGTGCAGCGGTTGGCTCTAAATGCCCCTATTTCAGACCAAGCTGGACTTCAACTTTCCAAGCCCTAACCTCCCATTTGGGATCTTCCCCCTCATACTAGCAGTCCTTTACAGGAACTATAGTACCCCCTATTATAATCCCTATTAAGGACTGTCAGTATAAGGGGGAACACCCTAACCTCCCATCATCCACAGCAAAGCTTTTCACCCTCCCAAGCCGCCTTAAAGTGCTGGGGCCGGGCAAGGTCGGCACGCCGCACTACATGGCGCCGGAGGCCCCTTGCCCCAAGCGCTTGTGCAAGTTTGACGCGTGGAGGGTTCAGAAAAGACGAGGGGGGAGAGACGAGAGGGGGGGGCTCTTCGGAGATATGTGCAGCGCATACATATTGCACACCTTAGCAAGGAAGAGCGAACTCCTATACCCTGAGCCCTCAACCCTGAACCCTCAACCCTAAACCCTCAACCCTAAACCTCAAAGCCGAGGTCTTCCAGGGCAAGGGCTACGGGGTGGAGGTGGACCTTTGGTCCTTGGGCATCATGCTCTTCGAGTTCGCCGGGGGCCCCGGGCAAGGGGGCATGGCTTGATGGCTCTACGTTGTGCCTCTGTTGAACTGTGTGTTTGTTGCCTTGTCTTGGGGCTTCAAGGTTTTGGACAGCTTGAGAGCTTCGGGGCTCCTAAGCCCCATATACACCACCTCAAACCTAAACCCCACTCTATCCCCCAAACTCCCAACGAGCTTCATGTCTTGGAGGTCAGGGCCCAGATGGGTTGTAGGACTTCAGGCTTTGCAGGGTTTGAGGGCTTTTGGGCTTTAATCCTTAAGTGGCAACAGACACCGAAAAAGCACAAGACGTCAGTCACCGCGAGGTCTGCGGCTACCTGCCCTTCGCCTCGAGCCTCAACGAGCCGCGCCCATGCTCGGAGTTAATTGGTTGGGACCGTTGGAGGGGCTTGTTCCCCGTTGGCCGGTGTCAGTTCCGAAAAACCCAATATCTGAATCTGACACGGCCCCCAAACCCCCAGATTGAATTGGGATTCTGGGGCGGTGCGGCGTGCTGGGGGTTGAAGAGGAGTTTGACGAGGAGGGTGGGGGCCAGCTCCTCCAATCATTCCCAAGCGCCAAGCCCTCGGCTAAACCTCCAAAGCTTTCTCCCCAACCCTGCAGAGCCCCACAAAGGCCACAAGAATCCTCATCCTTGTTCTTTCTTGTTCTTAAATAAATAAATAAACATAAAAAAACATATATATATATATACACACACACCCTAGTACCAGTCCCGCTCAGCCACAAGGTTTTTGTTGCTGATTTAGGGTTTCTTTGTGCAACTGTCTTGTCGATTTTCTGACATGTTTTGTGGAGTCGAAGCTGCAAAAAAGCAAACAATTGACTTTGGCGAAGTTTGGTTTTCTAACCCCAAACCCTGACCTGCCAACCCTGTTTAAACCCTGTTTAAACCCCAGCGCGCTAGTCCCCGCGGGATGTCTCCGAGGCGCCAAGTCTGCTCGGCCATCCTGAGAGGGAAGCTGAAGTTTCCCTCCGCCTACAAGGACTGCCTGGTTAAGGGTTCTGGCGAAGGGTTCTCGTGTTGAGGGTTCGGGATTCTGGGGGGCAGGTGGGGGCTTGCTGCCTTTCCGCTTCCGCAAAGCGTTCGCAGGTCCGCCGTGTGTTCATTCGTGACCCTCCTCGTTGCCGTCGTGACTTGTAATTTGGCGGAGTTTTTAGGAGCTTTGCGTGCAGGTCGCCTAATGAACGATGGCGTTCCGGTTCCGGTTGGTGCAGCCGGGAGAACCTCCTGGACGCTGCGGTCCACTATGTCTCTGCGATTTCATACATGTGCATGAAAGAGCTGAAGTCTGTGTCGCCGGCGTGCCTGGCCCGTATGACCTTGCTGAAGAAGGAAGGTGTGACCCCTGTTTGCTGCGCCGTGCAGTGTGAAGTTCGTGTCAAGTTGTTTTCCTGGGTGCGATGCTCGGTCGCAGCGAAAGCTGATGGGATCTGCAGACTGCAGACTTTGTGCGTTGCAGTCCGGCAGTGTCTCTTGCCCCAGGCAAGGACACCTCCTAAACCAAGGTGCTAGCTGTCAAGGTGGCTCCCTTCATGGGCTAAGTGGTGGGCTAAGTGGACATGCTACGAACATCGCTTGTGCATTCGACTCATGCCAGCGTTTCATCGCGCGCGACTTATCGAGTCAACACTCACGTTACTGCATCGTCATATCGAGACGGATGGTTTTTGTCGCGGTTCTGCTGTGCCTCACAGGTGCTTATGAACTTATCTTAAAAACATCTGCGTTCGGTCTCGTGACAGTCTATCGTTACTTCGTTTTGAGGTTGGGGGGGGGGGGTATGGGCGGCGGGGGGGTGGGCGGGGGGTTTTCGGGTAGATGATTTTTGGTTTGCGGTTTACGCTTTGGGTTTTGTTTTTGCCGGTTTGGGGGTTTGGTGTTTAGGGGTTTGCAGGATGTCGAGGTTAGTTATCATTACTTATTCCTGTGAAAGTGCTTGGTAGCCAAGTGGTATCCTTTTGCCCCTTTTGGGGTTCTAGGCTCCCAAGGAAGAAGTCTTGCGAAGGGGTTTCAGGGGTCTAGTATTTGGGCGTGAGTGTTTGGGAGCCCTTGTGAAGTACCTTTCATAGTGGGTTTCCATGTTACGAGGCACCTAGACAAAGGGAATCCTGGATCCCGTTAAGCCCTGGATCCCCATAAGCACCTCCCTCCCCCATCCTAAATCAACAAAAGGGAGAGGCCCTCATGCATTTTAGTAAAGTCCCCATGTTTTGTGGGGGAGGGGGGGGGGCCTTGAATGTGGGGGCGAGGAACCCCCCCCCCCACCAAACCGGCATGTGACGGACCTTGGTGCCAGGACGAAGTGGGACGCGACCTGATCAAAGGGCTGCTGACGCAGCCGGCGCCATGCTTTCAAAGATTTTTCAGGTAGGGTCAGGAGCTATAAGTATGGTAGCTATAGTTGTGCTCCGCAGCGCCCTAAAAACCCCGCACCCGAAATCCCAGGCAGCTTAAAGAACGCCGACAGTCTCGACCCCTCATGGCTTGGTGAAAGCCCGTGAAGCCCCGAAACAATACCTTCTGCTTTAGATGCGTTTGTTTGTTGTCATTTGATCTGCAAGCCGCCTTGCTTGCCAAACTCGCAATGTTCGAGCAATGTTCGGGCCTGGTTGGTATCGAGTTGCAGCGAGCTTTTTGTTTCTAAGAGTGTGCTACCTTGACGAGGTTGCACTCCAGATCATGGCTATAGTTGTAGCATTGCTCATGGGATGACAAAGGGTTTGGACCTACCCTAACCTTGAATGCTTCCACCCTACAAACGCGCTCTACAGTTCCACTGGTAGTTCTACAGCTCTACGTGACTGTTGCAGCTGGTGTATATAACCGGGAAATATATCATCACAGAATACAACATGATGGAACATAATTGACATATTATAGCGTAACATATCACATTTGGGATGTCCCCTAAAATGCTAACAGTCCTGAACAGGGGTATAATAATGGGCACTAGAATCCATGGAGGACTGTTAGTATAAGGGGGAACGTCCCTAAACCCTAAACCCTAAACCCTAAACCCTAAACCCTAAACCCTAAACCCTAAACCCTAAACCCTAAACCCTAAACCCTAAACCCTAAACCCTAAACCCTAAACCCTAAACCCTAAACCCTAAACCGAATACAGAATAATCAGCGGGGATGTAACGCCTAAGCCTCGTAGCGCCCGCCTCCGAGGTGCTGAAGCGCCTGGGCGCCGGTGTCAACGGCCTTCAGGAGCGGCCCCAGACCAAACTCAACATAGGGTTTAGGGTTTAGGGTTTAGGGTTTTGGGATTAGGGATTAGGGTTTAGGGTTTAGGGTTTAGGGCTAGGCAGCCTCCCTTGGGGGGTCGGCGCTTCCTAGTTGCGGCCCTAGTTTCGGCCCTTTTCATCCACATCTCGGGCTCGACAGGACGTCTTCAACCACCCGTACTTCGAAATCCCTGGCCGGAGCCCTACTCGAAGCTGCCCAAGCCCTACCCAAATCCCAAACTCCAAACCCACCCTTATCCTCATCCATGAATCCCCCCCGCACAACCGCCCCCGGCCCCAAGGCCTCAACGCCACCAGGGTCCAGGGTGGTTGTTCTGGGATTCTAAGTTGGGATCTTTGTTAGGAGTTGTTGTCAGAGGTTTGATCTAGGTCCTTCTAATGACCTAAGCATTCTGACAGCAGGCTTGACTCGGGGATTCGGGCGTGGCAGTTTTCATCTCGACGAATGCCGAGATTTCAGTTTTTGCTGGATAGCCCCAGTTGTGGACAAAACACACCTGAATCCTAAACCTTAGAAGCGTGAAACCCTAGCACCCTACATCCTAGAACCCTAAACCCTAAACCCTAAGCCCTAAGCCCTAAGCCCTAAGCCCTAACCCCTAAACCCTAAACCCTAAACCCTCGACCCTCGACCCTCAACCCTAAACCCTAAACCCTACACCCTTCACCCTAAACCCTAAACCCTAAACCCTAAACCCTAAACCCTAAACCCTAAACCCACAAGGCCCCCACCCCCCAAAGCCCCAGGCGACGCGAGCATCTTCGACAAGCTGCTGGGCCGCGAGGTCGAGCCACCCTATGCACCCGGACCCTGGAGGCTCAGATAGGGTTTAGGGTTTAGGGTTTAGGGTTTAGGGTTTGGTGGCTCTTAGTAGGGAGATGAGGGAGTGAGGTAGCCTAGGTAAGGGCTTCGGGTTTTGGGTGATTAGGTGTCCGATGGCCGTCGGTTTTTATTGGGTTGAAGGGATCGAGATCAGTAGCAAGTCGTGCGGTTCACAGTCTTGATCTTAGACAGTTGAGACAACCGCAAAACAAGTAACCCACGACACAGACCCCAAACCCGGAAGTCCAAGAACCTCGAACCTGCCATTGAGTGCATTGACCGGATCCAGAAGCGTCTGAGGTGCAATTGCTGAGAAGCGTAACGTAAGAGCCTTTTTGTGCCAGAAAGGATGTTCAAAGCCATGTGTGCAAAGTTCTTCAATCCTTGGTATTCTGTGTCATTCTCCGAACAACAAACTAAGAATCTGTACGAATGATCTAATAGTCTAATACCCTATTTTAGTATGATCTTGTATTAATATACAGATGCACTAGTATACTAGCATGCTTTTAGAAAAACTCAATACTACAAGAATGCTAGAATACAATAACTCAATCATACAAGAAGTTGATGATACAGTTCATTCGAACAACTTTAGCCACTCTGCTGTAGCCAGGCCGCCATCCGACCAGCGACGGCCGGCCGGCTATTCCAAGGCCGCGAGAATGGCTTTCAACGAAAACTCAGTGTGATTCTTTGTAGGGATTTAGGGCTTAGGGTTTAGGGGTAAGGGTTTAGGGTTTAGGGTTTGGTTAGGGTTTAGGGTTTGGGGGAGTCTAAAACCTAAAACCTTGCTGATCCAGGGGGGCTTAGTGTGGTTTGTGAGTCTTTTCAAGGCTCAAATCGGCCCTAAGGTTCAGGACTTAGACGTCTTTTGGGTGGTTTGATGGTTTTTTTTTGTGATATTATTGTATCATGATGTTCTTATGTCATTATATTGTGACATCATTCTGGTATCTTTTTGTGAGCATATATTTATGGAACTAGCCGGTAGAAAGAAGGGTGAGGTGTACTTGAAGGTTCATGGTCAGGAATGCTCCAAATGGGCGTCTTGGTTCAGAGGTTGGGAGGTCGTGCAAGTGGCATGCGTTCAGACTTTGAGTTTCAGGGAGTTCAGGGATGTAGGACTCTAAGCCCTAAGCCCTAAACATTTCAGGAGGAGCACGAGCTTTTCGAGCACCCGTCTTCGAGAAGTCTCCATCTCAGCTGTGAAAAAAGTGCACAGAACTCGCCCAAATCCCTAAACCCTTTGACATTGCTCCTTCAATGGTGCAAGCAATGACGGACGTGTGCGGAGCCCAGGAAGCAAGTGCTTGGGCCCGCATCCTCCGTCACAAGCCCTGAACCCTAATGGTCTTAAGTTTGGCGAACTTCCAGTAGAGCCCTAAACCCCAAACCCCACACCCCAAACCCTAAACCCTCAACCACAGGCACCGAAGTGGTCAAGCAGAATGGCTTCTTTTGCATCTTGGCTCTGGGTGTGGACTGGAGTTTATGGCCTCGCGCAACCCGAGAACTGAAGCAGATCTACACCCCCCCTAAACCCTAAACCCCAAACCCAAACCTTAAACCCACGCCGAAAAGCCTTGGAGCCAACGAGGTAGCGTTTTCCGGAGGATGCACAAGTGAGGGGCGCGAAGGTTTCGCTCTTCTACAGAGGGGGCTAAGGGCTTGAGCGCCGGCGCGAAGAAGGGGGCGGGGGTGAAGAGTAGTAGGGTTTAAGGAACATATGGGAGGCTTCCCAAACTTCCTCTAAGAATCTTAAGAAGCATTAGTAATTTGGGGGCATATATGTAAGGGGTACCTCTATTTGGGGAAATGCCCATAGGGACCCCTCCCCGTTTGGTAGGGTCCGGCCCCACCGTCGTGTGGGTTCGCGGAGCATGGACGGCGTAGAGGCATAAAAACCTTTTTGAGCGGCCCCCGTAGCTGCCGGCTAGCTCTTCCTGTAGCCCTGAAGAAAAAGCATGTCAACCTACAAGGCAGCAGGACCTGCTTAGGGTAAAGGACCCAAAGCCCAAGACCCAAACCCCCAAAAACCTTAGGCGGCCTGCCATTGGTAAGACACCTTGGCGCACCGCGTAGAGTTCCCATACTGAAATAGGGTTTCTACTAGGGGTTTCAACTGGTTTATAGGCTTTGTAGGGTTTACAGGGTCATAGTTTTTGTTTCGATTTTCTGTCCAAACCATCTGCTAAGTCCAAGTCTTGGTGGGCTTGGTCCCAGAACCCTCCCCAAACCCTGTGAGCCCTAAAAGCCCTAAAAACCCTACAAGCCCCACAAGCCCGAGACCTAAAGCCCTACTGAGACAGGAACGGGGGCTAGCTTTAAGGCCCTGCTGCCTCCATTGACAGCACCTTTGCTGGCTGGCGCAAAGCTTCCCGAGCCTTCTTCCCCCTCTCAACTAGACCGGGAGCTCTGTTAGGGCTTAGGGTTTAGATGTTCGGGGTTTTGGGGGGGTTTGGGGGTCAGTCTCTCTCCCCACCTTTTTGCTCAAAGGGTCCGGTTCCCTCAGCAGCCCGTTTGGCCCTTGAGGCTTGGAGTCTCCACGGGTGGCCCCGATACCCTGAACGCCAAACCCTCAGGGCTCAGGATCTCGAGGAAATGAGCTCGGGCTCAAGCTGCGCGCCGGTTTTATCGATTTCATGCCCCCCCGGTGCATGGGCAAGGCCCCGACGCGGCCCTGGACCTGCAAGGGTGTAGGAGTGCAGGTTCAGGGGGTTTAGGGGGATTTAGTGCAGATAGTGCAGGAGGGGTTGCAGGAACCAGGGCCCCAGTTACCGCACACGGGGACTCTTCGTCGTACCAAGCGCGCTGCGGGACCGGACGGCGGCTAAAACCCAAAGCCCTACAGAACGTAGGCTCTAAACCCGGCAAGCGACTCCAGCCTCAAGTTAGTGATTGGTGTCCAGGGTTTGTGCCCCCAAGCCTAAACCTGGAGCTCTAAGCAGCATAGGGGGCAGGTCCAAAGTTAATACTGACGATCTGAAATCCCGAATCCGCGGACCAACCAAACCCCCCCAAGCCCAAACCACGAACCCCCCCCAACCCTCGACCCGCTTCTAAACCCTAAACCCTAAACCCTAAACCCTAAACCCTAAACCCTAAACCCTAAACCCTAAACCCAAAAAACCTAAAAACCCTAAACCCTAAACCCCAAACCCTAAACCCTAAACCCTCAACCCTCAACCCTCAACCCTCAAACCCTGAATCCTAAACCCTCAGCCTAAACCCTAAAGCCCTGCAACGCCTGTCCCGGCTCCGCTGACGGCCCCGGAGCCTCCACCGGAACGGTGAGATTAGGAGGTCGCAGCTTGCGTTTCCCAGCTCTGGCGGAATCTCCTTTAGGGGGGATCTCTATGGGTGTATAACAGCTTAAGGCTTATGGGTTTAGGCAGTTGAGGTACCGACCTCTAGGGATTCTGTCCAAGCAGCGTGCGAAGAGCAAGAAGAGCTGGTCCAACCCACTAACCTCCATAGCGCCGATGAGCCTTCTAAGGGTGTTTCCCAAACATGAGGGCACCCATATTCATATTGACGATATTGGGGGCCTTCCAAAAGCAGATTGTATCTAGGGATACCCCGTTTGGGAAATACCCCCATAACGCCAAAAACCTTGAATCCACAAGCCCGGCGCTGCAACTTCAAGTAGCCCCGAAGCGCAGGTTCGGGTTTTGGGGTGTAGGATTCGGCTGTTGTTAGAAGCAGGGTTAGAAGTACCCAAAGCAAGAGGCCAGAATAGCTATGGTTTCCACCCATGGTACCCTTCCCGGCGCCAGGGGGCGGCGTGCGGCAGAATCCGGGCTCGCAGGCTGGGTTGGTGGTGCCAAGGTCCAAACTGTAAATGGGTCCATGCAGGTTCCCCTAAACCTAAAAACCCTTAACCCCAAACCCTAAACCCTCAACCCTAAACCCTAAACCCTAAACCTTAAACCCTACTAAACCCTAAACCCTAAACCCTCAACCCTCAACCCTAAACCCCTTCACGCCTGGAGTCTCCCACCAGCCGCAGAGCTCAGGCCCTCTTCACGGATGAGGAGCTTGCGAGAATCTTGTGCGCCCCCCAAGCGGGAGGTTTCCTGCTGAAGGGTGGGTGGTTGACGTACAGCTTCCGGGTCGAAGGTTTGGGGATCGGAGGGGCCTGAACCCCTCAACTCATATGGGTGTGGAGGCTTGGAGGATTATGGTTGAGGCTGCTATCATGCTTCCGAGTTGGGGTTTAGGTCTTCCGGGTTTCAAGCTTTGGGGGTCTGGCTTCCTCGAGCTCAGCCCTAAACCCCAAGCACCGTTCTTGGGGCTGGAGCATGGTTACTGGGTGCTGCCTCGAACCACTTTCGAAACCGAAGCGCAACCCCAAACCATAAACCCCAAGCCACACACCCCAAAAGACCTGAACCCCCAATCGCCTCAAAATGCAAAATCTCCAAGCGCCTACTGAGGAGCCTTATAATTAGAGCAGGGTTTTGGGGGTTATTCTCGTATGATCATTCGTAGTTGTTCCGACCCCTCCATTAAACCCCTCAACTCCAGACCTGGTGCAGGCAGGACTCCAGTCCGACTTTCACCGGGGGCGAGACGTGCCGGTGGCCCAAGCTGGCAGAACAGCAACAGTTGTTCTGAAAACCCGGACTAAGTTTGGGGCGAAGGCCACTCTTTCACATATTCATCGCCAAAGAAGGGCAAGAACTATTTTGCCCCGATGTGCTACTAAACAAATTAGGAACCTCTCTTCCCCAATATTTGGCAGCAGGAGCCTCAAAACCCCAACCCTCAAACCCTGAACCGTTTGGGCTTTAGGCTTCAATTCTTTTGGCTTAGAGGCTTTGGGGCTCTGTTTTTCTGGTTCAGAGTCTTTGGGGTTCAGTTTGTCTGGTTCAGAGGCTTCAGGCTTTGGGGTTTATCTTTTGCTTCAGAGGATTCAGGGCTTAGTTTTTTTTCCCCCTGAGAGCCCCTTGAGCAAGAACAGGGTTTACCCTTTTGATTCCCAGGCTGCCGGGATCCCAGGATTAGAGCCTTAGGGAATCGTAGTTGGACTCATAACCGTACTGGCATGGAGAGTGCGGTGGCAAAATCATAGTTGGCTTAAATAAATGTCAAGATCCCTTTCGTCATGTTATGTCATACTACCGCCACTGCTGTTGCTACATACATAATGCAAGTCTGGAAGGCGTGAGAGCCTTCCAGCAAACCGGGGGGAAATCCATCCCGGCGTTCTTGTCAGCTGACCCTAAGAGCTCAATAACCAAAGCCTGTCAGCCCCAAACTGCCTTTGCGCATACTAGAGGGGTCGGAATAGTTGCAAATCGTATTCCCTGTATAAGTATATTACAAATATTTCAATAACCCCCCCGCAAAAAGCCCTCTTCCAATTATAAGGGCTGCTGTAGTAGCCCATGTCTAAATTTGAAGAGCCTCCACAAAGGCCGCACGGACGAGCAAGAGATGAATGATGAGGCAGGGCCCGAAACACCCGAGAGGTTTGGGAGCTCAAGGGCTGTGAGGGTTTCGGGTTTAGGGTTTAGGGTTTAGGGCTTGGGGTTTAGGGTTTAGGGTACGGGGGGAACCGAAGGGGGACGAGAAACCAAACAGTCAACCCCAACAGAAACCCTTGATTTCCCTGGAACAACCAACAACAAAACCCAAAGAACAATCCAACACACCTTTTCAGCAGGGCGCATTGCCCAGGGTCTTGAGCCAAACATGATTTCCGGGTTTATTAACCCTTTCAACTCCCAACACTAACTCTTTTCTACAATACCAGTTGCAGCTCCGCACTCCCCCTGTCCTAGGATTTCCTAGGACACGTTGGAGGTGCAGATCCTTGGCCAAAAACCACCGTTTAGGCAGCAGCCAGCTGCTTGAAATGCACATTATGGTTTAACGTCATCCAGGACGAACCTTCAGCTCATTGGCTGAATCCTTTACCATTGAGGATTTCTTCACCTCGTACTTGGAAAATTCACGTTCCAGCGGCCCGTTCCTCACCAAGGAACTCAGCATTCACCACCCAGCCATCCTTGAGGCAATGCTTACAAAGCGTCTTAGCCCTGGGCTGTGAATATCGCAGAACATCACAGTCACTGCTTGCGTGCATACAGTTCCCACCCACTGTTGTATACAAAGTGGCACTCGCAGGAATAACCACCGCTTTCTTGACCCACAGCCATTTATACAGCCGTCGAAAGAGGCACCATGCCAGTTCCCAGAGTATAATTGCTGCCACCAAATACGCAACAAGGTCTGAATTGTTGACAACCATTTCAATACCTTGAGCCAGAACCATCACCGTAGACGTGTTGGCGACCTTGCACACCCCTTCTTCTGAGCAAAAGAATCCAGCCGTGGACACTTCTTCGCCACCAGTTGCCATCCCTTGCAGAGATGCAGCCACCATCATGACCGCCATTGCAAGCGAGGCTTTTTTCAAGTCAGTCCCTTGTACCAACAGTCGGAGACCCCAAAGTGCCTTTTGCTTTGCGTACACCTGTCCACTCATCAACTTAGTCAACAGGTCAGCGATCATATACTCACCGCGAAGATGCGCTATCACCATATAACCACGGTCCACCAGAGACCTGACACCGGCTGCTCGAATTCTCAGGTGTCTTGTCCTCCAGCTTCCAGCAGGA